TGCCCAGGTTAAAGCAAGAAAGGATCGTAGCTCAATATTTAATATTGTACAGCTAGCCCTTTCTATTTTTTTCATGCACACTTCCCTCTTGTTTCCTCTATTATGATGATAAATCTTCAATGTTTTTGTTATTATTTAATTAAAAAAAAATACTAAAAATTTTTTTTTTTTATATAATTTTTAGAACAAATAATTATAAAAAATGTCCTTAGAAAAATATAACTTTAAAGCAATTCAGTCCTCTGCTGCCTCTTCCTCCACCTCCGACAATTCTGGTACCACCCACCAAGATTTGTTAATCCATCTTGGCTCCCTTCAGGATACGGTGGCAGCCATACAAAGCTCCCTAGTTCAGCTTGAGAAAAAAACCAAGAAATATACCAGTGGCTCTGGCTGTCCTGGTTGTATCCACCTTAAGACCAAACTAAACGAATCCTATGCGGAGTTGAAGAAAAGGCGATCTCAGAAGGAGATGCAACAGAAAATTATTAATTTGGAGAAGCAAGTTAGAGAGTTGGAGCGAGAAAATCTTCGTTTGAAGTTTTTAAATAATCATAATAAAAAAAATAGTAATAATAATAGTAATAATAGTAATAATAATAATAATAGTAGTAATAATAATAGTGAAATTGAAAAAATTAAAATTTTTTTTTTTTTTTTGTATATATATAAGTATATATATATAATATATATATATTTTATTAATTTTTTTTTTTTTTTTTTTTTGTAAATAAAAATTTTTTTTGGTTAAAGAAAAACTAAATAAAATAAAATTGAAGAAAGAGAAAAAAAAAAAAAGAAATTATTGTTTTTAACTAATAACTATAATAGGTTTCCATAATGGTCGATCAAAATATAATTTTAAATAATTAGAATTAATTGTCTCTTTTAAAATTTTATCATCTATTAAACGAAGTTTGTAAGCACCAGGAGCAACTATATCATGAATATAGTAAGGACCTTTTTATTTTTCTCTAAATTTATCACCATGCACTTTAGCTTGTGCTGACTGATATAATAAGACTTTATCACCAATATAAAAAGAAGTTTTCTTAACATGTTCATCATGCCTTTCCTTTTGTTTTTGTTGAGCTGTTTTAATATTTTGTTGAGCTTTTAGTTGAACTTGCTGTAGTTTAGTTGTTATAAAATCAATATGAACTTGTAGTTGTTGTTCATAAGGTGGTTCCTCAGCATTAATTGTAGAACTTAATGCT